ATATGAACAATTGTTTCATGCAGGCTGGATCATATTTCTACAATATGCAATCCAGAGGAATAGAGTATTCATCTCAAAGATAGATGCAAATAGGTGGTCCATCTAAAAACAATTGTAACTTACTGTCCAAATATTTTCTTAATATAATTATTATTTATTGCTTTCAAAATTTATTTATTTATTCATAGTCATGATCTCCATGTTAGAGATTATATATTATTTAAAAACAAGGATCAAATTATATTTAGAAATTATATTTATTGCCAAGATCGCATTTCTACACTATGTGGGCTAGCCAAATGCTACCGCATCCTATATATATGTATACCTTTTCTTAGCAAACAAATTTCATTTCATAATTCATACTGAGTAAGTCCTATAACATTCACCTACACATCTTACCAGTGTTCGCAAACTCGGCTGGTCCAACTCAGAACCAGTTGGTAAAATCAGAACCGGGTGTTAGTTGATCGGGTTTTGGTGGTTTGGACGGGTATTTAAAAAATATATAAAATCCTAAAAAATAAGAGATTTGTTTGTAATGTATTTTATATATTTTTTATCACTTTGAAAAATATTGGAAAAGTTTTTTGGCCATGAATACTAACTTTTTACATTTTCCCATATGCTTTAGAAAATTTTAAAAACACCCTTGGGCACAAGTCGATTTTTTAAATCAATTTTTTCACTATTTTTCAACTTCATTTGGATGTGCTTTGTTTAATAAAGCTTTAAATATAATTTTCATATTTTTTTGATTTTTTTGATTTTTAACACTTTTTAAAATAGGCGGACCTGACTGGTTAATCAAACCCGGCCCTTGGCCCGTTTTTGGGCCTGTTCGATTTTTCGAACACTGCATCTTACTCATTAAACTTCTCTCTCTCCAATATTAATTTGTAACTTTCATTAGCAAACAGATTTCATATACAACTGCATTTGGTTATGCAAAATTGTTTGCGAAATCTTTTTGCATGTTATCAAGATTGGAGTGGCCATTGTATTGGTGACGTGTATAGTTCAATCAAAATTAGTTTCCATTTTGTTCGAATTGAATTGATTCGATATTGAAAAATACAAATAATAATTTAAAATAATAAATATATTAAATAAAATTTTACATCTTATTCAGTTGGTTGAATTGGTCAAAAGCTGACTGGTCCGATCATCTAAAACTAGTCAAACAATAGTTTTGACTAATTATCAACCAAATTAAAGTTTTGCAAACCCGTCAAAGCATGAGTCAACAGTTTAATTATCGAACCAGCTGGTCCGTTCCGGGCTTGATAACTACCACCTTGGACGTGCACATGAAGATGCATGTATTCTATTGTCTCATGCATCTCTCTCTCACACATACGCATTAAATTGCATTATACATCTCTCTCTCTCTCCCATTTTTTGTTGCTTATCATGTTTCACCACTTCTTATTAGGTATTCTCATCGTCCTTCTCTCTTGCATTCATATTTTTAATACATTTGTTTGTGGTTTATGAAGGTTTACTGATGAGAAGGGTAACAAAGAATTCAATTCAGAGAAGCTCAAGTCATTGGGATGGAAGTTCAGGCCTTTGGAAGACACTCTGGTTGATTTTGTTGAATATTTACATGAAGCAGGTCTCTTGAAATGGAAGGAATCATTTTAGTTATAGAGATGAGGAATTAAATAAAGGTGCGGTTTGTACGGAGTGAGGCTCTAAACAATCAAAGTAAAACGCACTTTCAAATAGTATCAAGAAATGTGGTTTCAATAAAAGAAATTTTTGTGATAACCTTAAATACATTTCACCTCTAATTATAAAATTTAAAGCTTCAAAAATAGTATAGATCAAACAGATCTGTGAAAATTTGAAAAATCGTGAAATGACGGTCCAAAAATGCATTACAAGATGCACTATTTCCAAAATTTGAACTTCATTTTTTTTCCTCATGTCCATGCAGCTTGAGGTCGAGATGATCAATTTGAGATTACTTGTGCATCAAAACAACATCTTCTAGTGAAAATTTTGAGGTACACTCTAATTTGAGTTTTTAGAACCTCGTACTTATATAAACTTTTTCCATTAAATAAAGCTCGCCACTGAAATTATGGTTCTGCAGTATTTCATTTTAAGTTTGTACGATTCCCATGGTTCATTAAATAAAGTTCACTAGTTAAACACTAATTATCATGGTAAGAAAAGAGCAAAATGAGTCCTAAATCCATGCACATGGCAAGGAAAAAGTAGCCTAATTCATAATTCTATGGTGGAATCCACCCGAACAATTTACATTCCTAATGCATGTAGTTTTCAGATTGCCAATGTAATTTCTTAAAGAAAACCGTTTCGATAAGGTTGATCCCTTGCAGTATTAAGGAAGGTGTAATTCAAAAATCCTCTAGAAGAGTGTTCTTACATTGGAAAACCTTCAAATTGATCATCTCAACTTCAAGATGTGTGGATATGAAGAAAAAAATGAATTTCAAGACTTAAAAATAGGGTATTTTGTTAGAAGTTATTTAAGCCGTCTATTTTCAAGTACTTATAAATCTGTTTGATCTGTACTATTTTTTAAAATTTATACTTTTTTAAATAAGGATAAAAATAGATTTTAAACCCATCATAAGAATCCTAACACAAAATTTAGAGGTGTGCATTACTTATGCAGTATAAGGTGGGTGCTAACTCTTTTGAAACAAGGGATACTAATTTTTTTTACATTCATGAAGAAAAATAGGGGTGTCCCTGATGTAAGGTTGCGAAGTCCATTTATGAATATCATGATTCTAAATCCTTATTTTTAGTAAAATTGTCTTTTGAGCTAAAAAAAATATATGGTAAGATTAAACAAATATATATTTTGATAAATTTTTATTCATTTTATTTTTTCCAAAGATTAGTCATGGTATTAAAAACTTTTACAATGGTTTGAAAATCTATTTCCACTCCTAGTTATGAAATTTAAAGTTCAAAACATAATGCAGATAGAGCCAATCCATAAATACCTGAAATTTTTAAAAATTGATAGTCCAGATAATGTGTTGTAAGATGCATTATTTTTAAGACTTGAACTCCCTTTTATTTTCTTATTTATACATCTTGAGGTTAAGATGATTAAATGGATGGCTTTTCAGCATCAAAACAACGTTCTTTCACTTCTATAGTATACGTTTAATAACTGAAAATATAATTAAATTGTTGTTGTAAATAAAACCACACTTCTAGAAAACCATGTTTATAACACTAATGTGATTTCAAATTTTGCACATTCACCCTCCTCGTCACAACAATCAAACACAAACCCAAGAAAAAAAAGTCAATTTGTACTATAGATATAGTGAGTCCATCTCCAACAATGAATTTAAAGTGTGTATTTGGTAAACTTTGAGATCTAGGCCTTTATGAATTTGAAAATAATTTTTTCCCTTTTTAGCATTATTAAATCTAATAATAATAAAACTATCTTCATAATTTGGAAAGAAAAAAAGTTCCATCTAAAGTCTAGATCTAAGCATCTCACCAAATGGATGACATATGTTAATTTGGTTACCAAAATGCCTATTAAAGTATTTCTTTTTTTGTAATTGTTCATCAAAATGACAAGAATGTATATATAAAAATGAATGTCAAACAAATAATCCTAGCATGATGTTTTTAATGTTATTTCATTATACTTCAATAAAAAACTTGCATGAAATCACTCCACATGTGTGTGTATGTGTAAGAAAGCGCATTAACCTTTGATTTTTATATGTCTGACCAAACACATTGATCGATTCAGAAGTGAATGGCCAAAAGAATTCTAAATTTTGAATGCATGTAAGCCTCATCTAATGTTTTATATAAACTAAAAAACATTTAAGCAAAATTTCTCCCCCAATCTCAAGTCTCAACACTCCATTGTTTTAATTAAGAAAAAGTTTTATATAATGTAAAGTAAGGTGCATCTCAAAATCCACTGGAAAAAGGTCTTTTGACATTGAAAAATCCTCAAGTTAATCATCTCGACTTCAAGATATATGGGTGTGAAACAAAAAAAAAAAGAAGAAGATTTCAAGTCATGTATAGGATGCATATTGTAGTGCAATATCTTAAATGTCCATATTCAAGATTTTCGAGTACTCATAGATTTGCTAATATGCATTATTTTTAAAGCTTTAAAGTTTATAATTAGGAGTGAAAATAGAATTTCAAGTTATTTCAGCAATTTTTGATATTGAAACATCTTTTGACACTATTTAGAGGTGTGCCTTACTTCTGTTTAAAGTGGCAACCTTACATAAACAACAATAGTAGCAACTTTTGAAATTCACAAAGGGTGAAAATTATATATTGTTGCGATCTTAGGGTGAAAATTATATATTGTTGCGATCTTACTTTTTTTTTTTGATTAGTGAGTGGGGAGAGGGCCCCTACCCTTAGTAGGAATTGAGCTTAGGATGTAGTATTGCAAATAGTCAAGCGCTAACCAATTAAGCCCGATTGGCCCCTAACTACTTGCAAAGGTAAGGTTGCAATGGTCTACCATCTGTTTAGTTGGAAAATATAGGTTTGATACATTTTTTAAGTCATTTTAAAAAAGTATGACATATTTTAAGATAGTGTCAATTCTGCATCATCCAAATTAAGGGCAGCACAGCTTGTACAGAGCCAAGGGGGCCATGGCCCAAGCCTCGGCTCAGTCCGGGCTATGCTGAACAAAAACAAAAACAAAAACAAAAAAATTGAAAAAGTTAAAAGAAACTACAGTGCAGGGGTTGGGCCAACCTTGTCATGACCTTGGCCCAAGCCTAGGCCCGGCTAGGCCCAAGGGTCCTAGGCCCGACTTGACCCTTGGGCCTTGGTGGCTAGGCCCTTGCCTGGTTCTCAAGCCACATTTTTTGTCCCTAGCTCTATTTTTTTAGGGCTGGGCCAACGGGGCCGGGCTTGGCCACCCGACTCATGTTAGCCCTAAAATAACTAGTAAAGATTACTATCCCAAATAGTTGATAGAGCATAATGTCGGAACAAGATTCTTGTAGCCGACCCTAAATAGTTGGGAGCGGATAACAAACATTTTCCATTCATAAAACGATGAAGATCTATAAGGCCTAGGCTTTATGAAAACAAAATAAAGCTTCACCTCAAACCCTTATTCAGAAAGCATTTTTGGCAACAAAAATATCCTTGATGGCTCTAAAATTCAATTTTGACATCGACAATAAAATTTGAAACTTAAAAAATAGTACAGCATTTATGGATATTTGAACAATGATTTTTAGGACGAAATATACGGTCTCGATAATTTGTTACAATATGTATTATTTTTAGAGCTTGAAATCCTAATTTTTTTTCACAATCATAATATTCAAACCGAGATGATCTGTATGAAGTTTTTCAATATTTAAATTACTATTTTCGATGAGTTATGAGCTGGTGCCTTACTTATTTTGATAGGGCTGCGGCTTTGTCAAACCATTTAAAGATCAATCAAGAGAGAGGTATGCCGCATGCAAATAAGGAAAATAAAGGGAAAATTGCAGGTAACCCCACCTTGCACTTTCTAGACAACGTCTCCCAACCAATCTTTTTATCGCAACTTTTACCCCAAAACAGATTTTCTTATCAAATACTACCCAAGTCAAACAATCATATTTATTTAGACCAAAATAACATTTGTCCATACAAGCTTGCGTCACGTCCCTGTAGGATACGCAATGAACAAAGGTTAACTGCGAGACCAGTACAATAAAACCATGGTAGAAACCCCAAGGCAGCCTGAGTGGAGTACTACCTCTTAGCATGAGAAGTAGCCTAGCCGGCGCTTGAGGCGTGACCAACCAACCAAGCAAGTAAGAAAGAGAAACTTTTGACTTGTGTGCCGTGACTTTGATTGAAGCCAAAGGCCGCTCTCAACTTCTTAGCATGAGGTGTTGCGAGGCCTCGTCAATTGATAATACCCAAAGCTCTTCAGCTTGGTCTTTCTTTCAAGTGGATACTTTCTATGGTTTTGAAACTCCCTTTCCCATATCGGTTTAGGAGGTATAGGTTGACGGGTTTCCATCAACACTTGAGTTTATAATCGTGTTGAGTTATGTGATTATGTCGGTCGGTCGCCGTAGTTTTATGGATTTGGTAATGAGCCCTGGTTCGTTCTTATTGTTGGAAGTCTCGTAGAGGAGTGACCATAGAAGGAAGAGCCTTAAGAAGCTTAAGCAAACGGGGTCTATCCGTGACTATGTCAAGCAGTTTTCGCCCTTGATGTTTGGCATAAGGGATATGTCGGACAGTTGCCGAACCGCTTAAACAATATGTTAGACCGTAGTCGGTACCATGTGAGAAGACCAATCCCTCTCACAACCCATTCCAATAGGTTAAGTGCCCGACCGATGACATCTTGTGCTGGACCAAGGTAAAAACATTGTTAGACCCCATTGCATATTTGCCGGACCAAGGGCATAACCGCATGCACACCATGCCGGTAGAGAGTAAAATATCGGACAGGCAGTTGGAAGTGCACGTTATGCATGTTGGCCAGCCTTTCTTGTTGGCAGACTGCCAGCCTAAACAAAAAGACTATAGCGACCTACAATTAGAAGTTTATTTCTAAAAGTATTTTGATTTAAAAAAATTATGACTTTTTAACTCGAAGGTACTTGTCACCAAAAATAAGATTTATGATAAAAGTTGCGATAAACAAACAAAAATTGATGTGAGGAGGGGAGGTTATAAAGAAAGCTTACGTCTTTTTCTAATTTAAACGGGCCCTACAACGTACTCGATGACATCAGTAGATGCTGGCTCTTTGGCTTTTACATCAATCTTTTCAACGAACGGTACTGGATTACCTGTAATGCAACAATCACGAGAACATCTAAACCGTCCATCCTTCTATGTACTCGCACGGGAATTCTGCTGAGCCGTCTATTGCGCTTCCAGCATAAATAGGCAATGGGGTGTAGCCCTTTTAGACAGAGACAGAGAGAAGGAGAGAGTCCTTTACTTTAGAGAGAGAAAGATAGAGGAAGAGAGATATGGGGGAGAAGGGAAGTGTGTGTGTGACAGGTGCAGGGACGTACGTTGCATCATGGGTTGTGAAGCTGCTCCTCTCTAAGGGATACATCGTCCATGGCACGGTTAGAGACCCAGGTACTATACCTTTACTTTCATTTCCTTTCAATTTTTGTCCACACCAAAGGTGCACAGGCAGATTCATTGAACCATGCTCTCATCCAATTGCCACTGATGAATCTCGTTTTATATTTTTAAATTTTTATTTAAAAATTATTTAATATGAAGTTTTAGTTTTAGGTTCATTTTATAAGTACGTTTGAATAAATTAATAAAAAAAAATTTTTGAATAAAATTTTTTACCAAAATAAATTTAGAGGTATGTTGGTAATTTTTATTTAAAATATTTTTTAATCATTTTTTTTAACTATACTTATAAAGATACACCTACACACCAAAATTCAGATAATTATCTTATTTAAATAAAAAATAAAAAATAAATATGATACTGATTTTCATCCACTGGATATGGCCATATGACATCTCAACTATTCACTCTTTTCTTTGAACATTGGGTGGGCATGCTCATCTGCCCTAATGGTTTTTTTTTTCAATTTTTGTTTTCTCTCTCCTGATTGGATTACGAAAGAAATCAAATAGAAATGTATGACTATTGGGTGGCGTTCTTAATTCTATTATTATAATAGTGAGTTTTTTTTTATTTAATTTAAAAGATTTCCTACTCCCGTGGGAGTATATTGTCCATCTACTCCCTCAGACAAAACTCATAAAAGTATTTATTAAGGGAAAAGTTTATATAGCGCCGAGGCTCTAAACAATCAAATTTGAGCCTGCCTCAAAAATTTCACTAGAAGACGTTGTTTTGATGGCCAAATATCTTAACATTGATCATCTAAACATCAAGATGCATGGAAATGACAAAAAAATGGATATCGAAATAGTGTATTTTGTAATACATTTTTAGACCGTCAATTTTCAAGTTTTCATAGATCTATCGATCTACACTATTTTTGTAGCTTTAAACTTTATAAATAAATATGAAAATTTATTTTAAGGGTGTGGTTTCTATAAAGTTGCAACCGTAAACTATCCAATTAAGGTGTGCCTCCAAATTTGATTATAATATGTAATTTTGGTGTAAAAAATTCTTAGGACTATCTTAAAATCTATTTTAATCTCTAATTATAAAATTTGAAACTTTGAAAATGGATAAAATCAAGTAGATCTATAAACATATGAAAATATTGAAAATGAACGGTCTAGATAATGTGTTGCAAGATGCACTATTTATGGGACTCAAAATCTTTTTTTTTTTTTTCATATTCCTACGTCTCGATGCCAAGATGATCAATTCAATATTAAAACAACCTTTTCCGATGGATTTTTAAGATGCATATATAATTATACATTTGAAGGTTGCAACCTTAACTAAACTTTTTCCATATTTTAAAGCTATCACAAATATTTTCAATATTGAAACTACATTTCTCGATACTAATTGCAGGTAGGCTCTAATTCGATTGTTTAGAGCCTAGGCTCTATACAACCTGCACCTTATTTATTAGACCCCATTACTTGGGGTTGTAATGTCTATCAAAGAAACACCCATACCCACTGTCAACTTAAAATTGACGTCCCAAGATTGCACAATAACCGGTTCAAGTTTTGGAGGGAAAGAAATAAATGTCGAGAATTCAAAATTCAAACATTTTCTTTGAAAACAATCATCTATTGATATTTACTTGGCTCCCAAAGTATTGAATGAAAGAATTGACGAAGGCCCATGATAGTTTACTGTGGGGTTTTTATGGATTTATAGGAATTGAAGTTATATTTTGACATATTTTAGTAGTAATTTACTTTAGATTTTTAGGGTTTTGTAAGTTTTTATTATGTTTTATTCTAGTTTTTATTTTTTATTCATTTAGGGATAGAGTCAATCATTTACTTTTAAGTTAATAATTGGTGGTTAGGATTAAATAGAATAGACGACCAAGATTTGATAGAAACTTTCTAGAGTTTTTAAGTTACTTTGTACTTAAAGAAAATAAGCTCTCTCTTGGAATAGGTGGTTATCTTGTGAAAAAAAAAAAGAATTTGTTTTGGGATCATGAGAAGAGGTTTTTTTTATTTTTTTAATTATTTTTTTCCCAACTTCCATTCATCCCCTGCATCAAAAATTCTTCTAAGCAACAATTTTACTCGAGGGAATTGTTGTGCAATATGCCCCTACATGGATTTCATTTTTAATTCTTAATTTTTATTTTTATTTTGAGTTATCCTATGATTCAGCTCGTTTGCGTGCAATACGTGTTGAATTTGGGGTTTGATGAAGTTTCTCTCCTTTGATTATGTAGTCCTCAAAAGCCTGTGTGGATGGACCACTAAAAGTGTTTAATTCGATTGTTACAAGCAAAATAGTGCAGGAAATATTGTGTAAATTCATTTTATGAAAACACAGAATTGGAAAATCGCTCCAAATTAAGTCCCTAAAATGCATTTCACCTCATTAAAAAGAATAATTCTAATCTTAGTCGCGGTTATTGAGGTTAATCTAAGAATTGAAGAGGTTAAATCCAGTCTTGAAATCAATTTCGAGAAGGGCGTTTACTCAAGGGAGAAGAGGGAGTTCACTCAAGGGAGTACATAGATAGTATAGTCCTATATGAGCATGATATCTTTTATAGTGGTTATAACATAAGGGCAACCTTCTATGCTTCCCCTAAAGCATAGAAGTTCTATCCTCCCCCTTATCTAACCGTCCATTCTGAATGGAGGGCTAAGATTGCCTCAATCACAATGTCACGTTTCTACACTATTTTATTTTTAATTTTTTTCTATAACTATTTTGACACAAATTTTGGATGTCCATTTCTCTACTAAACCCTCACTAGTGAAAAATATAGAAAAAATATTTTTAATAAATAAAATGACCAAAATACCCCTAAACATTTCAAGGGGTATTTTGGTCACTATATTTTATCAAAAAAGTTATTTTTAATATTTTTTATAAATGCGTTCCAATGAGAAGATGACACGTACCAAATTTCATATTCAAGCAAATTGTATAAAAAAAACTAAAAAATAAAATAATTTGAGACGTTGGATCTAAGATCAAATGGTGATTGACTATCTTGATCAAAATTGGATGGCCAGATGTTAGGGGGAGGATAGAACTTCTATGCTGTAGGGAAAACAAATAAACCTTTCCCATAACGGAAATCAGAAATGAGTAATATAATGACGTAGAGGGTGGGACCTTGTGAAATTGACATGATTTCAATTTGCAAGTCCCATCCTCTCTATATCCTACCGTAGAAACCTCATAATATTTCTAGGGCCAAGAAGTCTATCAAGGGGATGAATATTTGTCATTCAATGGATCCCTTTTCCCCCTTTTATGGCTATGGGCATTTTGGGGGTGTTTATTTAAAGGAAAAAGTTTATATAAAGCTAAGGCTCTAAACAATCAAATTGAAGCCCACCTCAAAAATTTTACTCGAAGAGGTTGTTTTGATGTTCAAATATCTTTAAATTGATTATCTCGATATCAAGATGCATGTACACGAAAAAAAATGGATTTCAAGTTTTGGAAATAATGCATCATGTAAGGTGGGAATGGCGAGCGACTCATGACTTGTTGTTTATTTGAAATGTGGAAGGATGTAGTAACATTATGGGATTGCTCATATGTTTTTTTTAGCAAAGGTTCACAATATGTTGAGAGATAGGGGTGCAACGGGTCAAGTTACCCAGACCCAGACCCAAGCCCAAATAGTGTTTGGGTCCGAGATTTAGACCTGGTCTATCGGGTCCAATTTTTGGACTCATACTGGGACCCAAATCAGGTCTACCTCCTGGGTCGGGTCGCGTCCGGATCCATTGCCACCCATATTGAGAGATTTTATGACTAATGTAATTCAGATGGCTTTAATGACAGAAAAGTCCACTGCCAAGGAGTTTTTCACGCTGCAAGTCCACTACCAAGCATTGAACCTAAAGATTTCCAGGCAAGCTTACCGTTTGACCCACACTTTTCCTCTTTACAAGGAAGTCATTCTTTACTGTAATACCTGTTTATCCTTGCATTTGCTATAAGAAAAGAGAAACATTTCTTTCTTGCTGGTGCGATTTTGTGTAGGTGTTAACGGCCCATGGCCAGCACGCAGGCTTTTGGGCTGGCCTGCGGGCTTTTTGGTCTGAATCTGAGCCGGCCTTGTTAAGCCTGAGATATTTTATGGCGAGACTTGGGCTAGTACTCGCCCGGACAAGACGCAAAAACCTTTTAAATAAAGAAAATTATATAAAAAAACCATTTACCTCTTTTTAAATAAGGGAAAGTATATAAAAAGAACTATTTTTTTTTTTGTATAAGGAGGTCACAATCAATTTTGCATCTTAAATTTTAAATTGAGTGGTTGTAAGAGTATCATTGAATAGACATAAAATTCCAAAAAAACATTCTTGGATTTCATGACTCACCCCAAACCATCAAATTTGACATCTAATAAGTGGGACTTGTCATGACCTCCTTGTAATATAGATCAGTGTTCTCAAAATCGAACCGAAACGGTTACCGGTCATGAAGCTGGGAGCGGTTCGAAGCGGTTAACCAGACTAACCAGTCAAGTAGATTTCTTTTAAAAAAAATGGGTCAAAACCCTCCAAACAAAATAGGAAAACTTAGATTAAGTATACACTATCATATTACATACATTTATCTTATAAAAAAAAATTGAAACAACTTTTTATATAATTTAATATCTGAATATTATGGAGATATGCGAGACAATTTATAATTTCACATAAATTCAATTGATGAAGTTACAAAGTCCAACTAACAATGAATGAGGCAACAATATATGCTTCTATATTGTTTTAATGTTGATGTTGAAAATTTTTGTTTTAATGTTGAAAAACCCTTTAATACGGTTTAGAGTTGGATTTCAGAGCGTATTTTTTTGTAGCATGATGTTCCCAGTTTTTCGAAGGGTTGTGAGTCAAGGTGGTAAGAGAGAGCACCTCATTTACTCCGTAATTTGTTATCAAATCCAAGGTGTGGGCCAAGGTGTCAAGTGTTGCTTCAAATGGCCAAATCGCATAGTTTTAAAAAATATGGCCATGTCGATTTTTAAATGGCCAAATCGATTTTAAAATGGCCAAACCTCATTTACTCAGTAACCTTTTGAGTTAGGTTTTAAAATGAAAAAAAAAAAAACCATATAAGATGGCAACTTTAAAATGTAGAATTAAGATGCATAGTAATCCATTTCGGCATGTGAAAACGTGAGAGATGAGTAAAACACTTTTTAGTTTCCACCTCTTTTCTTCATATAGGCTAATAAAAAGATTTGAGGAGTATGAAGTTGCAAAAAATGACAGATAGCTTGTAACAAATTAGAATAAAATGTCACAATTAAACAAGAAGTTGAGAACTAAAACAACAGTAATATGCAAAAAAAATAAGCTTAAAAAGAAATAAATTTTTTTCTCATATTCATCTTAAAAAAAAAATATTTTTATAAAAAAATATATATAACATTAAAACCAATCCAACAAGCTCACCAAAAATATATAACATTAAAGAAAGAAGTATTTTTTTCTCATATTCATAAAAAAAAACATATTTTTGGAAAAAAACATAAATAACATAAAAAACGATCCAAAAAGCTCACCAAAAATATATAAAACTTAAAAAAAAAGAATATATTCTTTTTTTTCTCATATTTATCACAAATAACATATTTTTATAAAAACAAAACGTAATTTTATTAAAAAACAAATTTTTTTTAAGAACCCTAAAATCGAGCCCAAGAACACAAAAACTTTAGAGTCAAAATCAACCCCAAATCTTTCATTTTTTGAACAAATTGACATGGGGATATGATAGATACCTTAATTAAGATTCAAATGCCCCAAATTTCATAAAGACTCATTCACTAATTGAGATCTTTATTCAAAAAAATGCGGATTTTTCACTTTACGAAAATTTCAGGAAATAAACGCAGCAAAACAACAACGATATAAAAACATTTAATCAATAGTAAATCAAAATAATTAGTTTATTTGATACATGAGGCTTTTATGATCAAACTTCAGCGATCAATTCGATAAAAATCGATCAATTGATCGATCAGAAATCAATTTGTTTGGATAAAAACCTGTTCTTCTAGCAGCACAACTTTGGGCCCAAAAAAGCCTCAAATCTTCACCGTTTTGGAAAATTTGAAATATGTGAACGTTGAATCCTTCAACAATGAATCAAAGCCCTCCATTTTTATGAAAATCTATGAGGTATTGAAGCTGCATTTGATAGAATGGCGGAAATTTCTAATTTTAAAAAATCCTCATTTCAATCCGCCAAGAACTCTTTGTTTTTGGAATTTTGATTCAATAATCGACGATTTACAGAAACTTTCCGGTGTATAACATCAATAGTTGGCAGAAGAAAACAAAAAATATACAAAAAAAGCTGCAAAATCTTGTTTTGTGAAAAATAACGGAGCATGTATCAAATAACGACCATTAGTTGATACGTTGAAAAAGTCGTTATATCGGGCGTTAAAACGGTAAACCGGATAGGTTAGAAAAAACCGACCGGTTTATATAAAAAATCGACGGTTCAACCTCAAATCGGCCAGTTTTGGTGCGGATTTTTTTGGAGAGGGCCGTCTTATGAGGTGTGTGGTAAAACCGGTTCGTATTACGAACACTGATATAGATAAATGGTCTTTTTGGAGACAGTCCCTATACGTGTATCTTAAATATTTCGCATACTTTTGTTTTTCATATTTATATTTGGCCCTCAACATATTTCAATTTGGGTTGGGCTTAACCCTTAATCATGAATTTAGACCACATGGCAAACTAAATTTCGAGCCCAAGGCTACCTTGCATTATTTAGGGATGGGCTAGGGCTAAGGCTATGGATAGCATGACCAGAACTCGGTCACTTAATAGCTCTAATTTGGATGATGTTGAGGGTATCATTTGTTCACAAGAAACTTAGAAAAAGCTATTTGTAACTTTCAAGTACGATCAATATCACCCCAATCAACCTATTTCAACTTTGACGAGTAGGGTTCTAGTTTTAACTCTCTTGTAGCAATATAAATAGTCTTTTAGAAAAAAAGCTTCGGCTTAATTGGTTAGTGCTTTATGAATTGCAATGTTATGTATTAAGCTCAATTCTTACTAAAAATAAGAACTTCTCTCCCCACTGATTCACCCAAAAAACAAAAAAAAAAAAAAGTAGATAAATGGTCTTGTCTATGCTTTCCTACATTAAGTACATGTGGGAAACCAATTCGAGTCTTCAAGACTCAAATGAACACGACATAACCTAACTCAATCCCAATCTCACCAGTCGAATCGAGTCTCGCTAGGGAATTCCACATATTCGATTAGCTTTATCGAGTCACCATGTGACTTGATCGAGCCATATGACTATGTATAGTCGGACATTTGTATGCATTTCATGAGAAGTTAAAAAAAAACGAAACAGTAGTGATGGACAATATTCACCTAAAGGGAGCATGAAATCTTTTGGTCAAAGTAGCACATGAGTTGTTACTCCCATGGACACCTACTCCCTTGGAGCTTGGAGGAGTTTTTGCAATATGATACTTGCGATCAAACTAAGAATCGTAGATGATTATTTTTAAAAGAACAAATTTAAAAAGTTATGTTTTCTAACACTTGGATCTCACCTCACCCTGCCAAAAATTGGACGGCATTTGTTAAAACTTGATACATTGTCTTTTCAACTACTTAGAGAGTTTGATTTGGGAATTTATTTTATTGAGGTTAGCCTATGGATTGAAGAGTTCACATCACCAAATTTTGAGATCTTAAAATTTCTCCTATATTGGATTCTATCCGAAGGAGTAAATGGGTGCTCCCACAGGAACACAAAGTCTTTTGGCAAAACCAAATTTGGGTTTTCGATTTCCTTAAAATCACAAAAAATCGCATGTAGGGCTTGCAAGGGGCCAAGCCTAGACTAAGCCGGGCTAACTCTGGCCTGGGTTCCTACAGGGCCCAGTCCGGGCTGGGCTGGGCTGGGCCTTATAAAAAGTTAAAAACAAAAGGAAAAAATAAGGCCATGCAGGGCCAGGCCGTGTCGACCTTGTCCCTAGCCCACGCCCAGTCGGTCAAGCCTTGGCTCGTCCATCAGCAACATTTTGTGACCTGGCTCTGCTTTTTTTGGGCCGCCCTAACCGGCCCAGCCATGCGACCCATAGCCAGACGAGCCACATGGAGTCATTTGACATTTATACTACTACTATCCTTAGACCTTAACGCCCCGTTGGAGATCCAGGGTCTTACAAAACTTGGACACATCTTTTGATCCATTTTCGGTGATGGCCTTTTTTTTTTAAGGAATTTCCATGACCCCATTTTCCTTGTCCATTTTTTGCCAATTTGGATACTTTTTGTTATCATAGATTTTATATTCGAGACTTTGACCCATTTTTAAAACTTAGTATTTCTAAAGGGATATCTGTGCTACGAGACTATCTATCATAATAAAAGGAAGTCATAATTACTTCTAATCATTAGTCGTCGCATTGGATCTTTTGGATTGTGCTTTTAAGGTTTGAAAAATTTTCTTTTGAACTTTGGGTCTAATCAATGATACTTTTACAATCACATGATTTGAATTCTGACGGACATGAATAATTGTTACTACCTTGTTTCAAAAATAAATTGCCTTTTTATATACTTTTCTATTTCTAGAACTCAAATCAAACTTATACGTATCAAAATTTACAATTATTTTTTTACTTCTTTAATCTCAAAAAATACCTCTCCTATTGTTCATACAATCGCGGTTAACACCAATTTTCAAAATCGAGGCTCAGATTTGAGACTCGTAAGGTCCCAAGTCCGAGTCTCTCTTACACACTTGGGTTCAGTTTGTCATTGACTTGGCCAGTTTCTACTCGGACTCGGTAACTTGCTAAGTCCGAGTAACTCAAGTCCCAAGGCCAAACTTGCTAAGTCTGAGTAACTTTATAAGTCCCAAGTCCAATTGGACTCGCCTGAGTTTTATAATGATACTTATTATGCAAATACTATTCTTCTTGAGCTGTTAATTAATAATTTATTTTTATCCTGGACTATTATTTTTTTTGACGAATTATTCTGGACTATTCTTATGCAAATACTATTCTTCTTGAGCTGTTAATTAATAATTTATTTTTATCCTGGACTATTATTTTTTTTGACGAATTATTCTGGACTATTCTTAGTCGATATATTTTTGCTGATTTTTGTTTTTCTACACTTTGTTCGGAAAAACCAGATCAGATCGCTCGTGAACCTGGCTGGATTAGTCCCAAGTTTGCTTTGCTTACAACAGTTAGAAATTGTGATTTAGAAATATACAATAATTACCAGCTTAGTTTACCTAGTTATTATTAACCATAAAATTAGCTCTCTCTCTCTCTCTCTCTCTCTCTCTCTCTCATATTGTAGGCATAGTTTGTTGCAGAAAGAAATGATAGATCCAGCAGTGATGGGAACCTTGAATGTTTTGAAAGCATCTCATGAGGCCAGAATCAAAAGAGTTGTATTGATGTCTTCTATGGCCGCTATTATGATCAATCCAAACTGGCCCAAGGGCAAACCCATGGATGAGACTTCTTGGTCAGAGATAACGTCCTGCAACACTGTTCAGGTAACAAATTAATCGAAAAAAAATGGGGAAGAAAAATATCTTTTGGGTCGAATGGAAAATGTCAGCATAGGACTACGTCTCCAATTTCTCTGGAAATTGCTGTCCTGGTGCTGGAAAAGCATCAGATGGATCATCTAACCTCAGTGATATCGATCGAAAATAAAATAGATTTCATGCTCTAAATATATTACATCTTGAAACACATTAGCTCTACCGTAAAATAAATGTTATTATTTACTTTTGATACACAAAGGCCACAACCACTCTAGCTATGTATGCGGATATAGGGCTGAGAATTTATCCAATCTGGGTCTGAATCCCTAATCTCGGATACTATTTGGATCCAAGTATGGATCAAGATTTGGATCTGGCTCCAAAATTTAAATTCAAATGGTAATTTGGATTGGTTCTGGGTACAAATGATCCGACTTACAGGTGAAAATGAACAGTGATTTCGCTTACCCTCATCACCATCCAAACTTCATCGCATGGCCACAATTGTCTAGTAGTATTTTAATTTTCAATTTTTTTTTACTAATCGGAATGAGATGAAATTTGGAGAGTGTGTATATCTTAGTGAGGCGCACCTAATAAAAATATGAAAAAAAAAATAACCAAACAATAAATAACAACCAAAACTAAACCTACCGTAACTTAAGTTAGGTTAGGTTTTAAGTTTAATTTATTATTAGTTTTTAGTTATTTTTCATATTTTTATTAGGTGTGCCTCACTAAGACGTACACACTCTCCAAATTTCAAGTAATTTGGATTTGTAGAAAAAAAAATGAAAAATAAAATACTACTGAATAACTGTGACTATACGATGAAGTTTGGATGGTAATGAGGGTAAGTGAAATCACTGTTTATTTTTACCTATAGACGTTGGCAAGAGCTTTTATATATATATATATATATATATTAATTTTTTAAACTTAGACCTTAATCGGGATCCCATGTATAGTTTTTAGATCCAAATCAGATTCGATAGCTTTGGATCCATGTCTGGATCCCATCGGATCTTGGTCCAGTTTCAGATCTAATGTATACTTTTCAGATCCAGATCTAGATTTGGGTGGATCCGAACCCCATCTGAAAAATTCTCAACCCTATATGAACGTGAAATCAGACGGCAGTACGTGTATCATTTCTCCATACAAAATCAGAGAAATTTTTTCTTGGACTTCCAATAAGGTTAATGAGAAATCTAGATGCCTGATTTCATATTGAATTGAAGGATTCAGAATGACTACCAAAAGTAAACAAATTTACTGTATATTTTTCAGTCATTTGCTTTTTATATATAATGAGAAACTTTGGTTTTGTCTTTTAGGATTGGTATTGCTTATCAAAAACAATGGGAGAGAGAGAGGCTTGGGAGTATGCAGGAAAAACCGGAGTGGAGCTAGTAACTGTATGCCCACCTTTGGTACTAGGCCCAATGCTACAAAAAACAATAAACGCGAGTACCACGTATTTCATCGAGCTTCTCAAAGGTAATTTGTAGGACCGCCGCTTCATAAAGCCGCATGTCAAATCAAGTTAGATTACGTAATTTTTACAATAAAAGTTTGCAAATCAATCATCTCTAACCCAATGATTATAGATCTGAAAAAAATGGATTACAAACGTCAAAAATGACTCATCCTGCAATATGCTTTTTGGATTTTCTCCTTTTAAGTCTTCACCACTCCGCCAGATCCGGTTAATTTATTAAGTTTCAGATTTTACAACCAGATATGGAAATAGATTTGTAGATCACGACATACGTTTTTGGAACCAGAACTATATTTTTTGGCAGGGTTTTGAGATCCAATCTTAATTGGCTGTTCTCATATTCGAATAGGAACACTGTGCAAGCCCCAAGGCATTAACAATGGGACATTCCCCTTAGCAGGACACATCTTGATGCATTTTTTCTTGTCCAAATAATAGAAGTTACATGTTGAAAATGAGGTGGTCTCTTTTTTGACATTGTCTTTTCAAGACATGCTAAATTTTTTTTTTATCTTAATTGAATATCTATCCATTGAACTCCAACATTTTATTCAACCAAAAGGAAGCTCCAATCTTTCTCCTCCTTTCTTTGTTTTTTTTTGTGGCGTTAAATTAACAAACTCCAACACTCATCATATTTAGCAAATTTATCGGTATTTTTAATTTTTTTAATAATTCCATTTTTTTTGGTTAGTTCAATGAAGAAAGATCCTCTAATTGTAGTAGGAATGAAACTCAAGATGCTAGTTTTCCCGACCACCTAGTTGTTCATGTGGCAAGAGCATTTTGAGTGTAAATTGCCCTCCCATGTTTCCTTTTTCAAGAGTCTCTCTCGACCAATATTAATAAATTTATTAATGAAAATAGATTACAACAGAGGAGTTATACTTGTGTATTCATCCTATAGAAATCAAATTTAGAAAATTTTCAACTATAATATGAGATGCAGCACGGTTAATGTCAACGGCTAACCCGCAAGCTCAAGCCTTTCCTTGGTATTTAGAATAAGAAAGGTATACAATGAGGCAATTTATCTTTGGTACGAAGTGACTACAATTAATCTTGACCATTAAATGTGAAATTAGATGGCTGCACTTATTTCATTGACCAAGATCAAATTTCAAAAAAACTTTTATTGAACTTTATAACGCCCAAGCTATTAGATTTCAAATCAATAGTTATAAAAATTGTAACATCCATGTATCAAAGGTAAATGGCCTCACAGCATACAATCCCGAAAGTAATATTGCTACAATAGAGAACTAAAAATTGTGAAACCGGAGATGTACAAAGAATCGAGAACCAGGTGCAGCCTTTTGTGGACGTACGTGATGTAGCTGAAGCCCTTCTCCTAGCATATGAAAGCCCTGAAGCAAGTGGAAGATACATATGCGTTGCTCACTCACCCAAATGCAGAGACTTATTTGAGATGTTGAAGAGCCGCTACCCTACCTACAACTATCCAACACAGTAAGTTCAAAATCTTTTTCCATATAATGTGTGAATAAATAGAAGGACCCGGTTTCTATGCGGCCAAGCCCGCATACGTAGAAATGCGGGCCTTTTAATAAATCTATTTTTGAGATGGATTTTAAGATTTAATTTTTAAAAACATGTAATCTAAACTCTAACATGGAGATCATGAACATGAAAAAATAAATAAATTGTAAAAATAAGAAATAATAAATCTAATAAAAAAAAATTTGGACCATTAGTTTCTATTGTTTTTAGATAGAACACGCACTTGCGTCCATCTTTAAGATTGATGCTTTATACTTTCTGGACCACATATGTTTTCATGCGGTCCGGCCTGCATGAAACAATTTTTCTAAATAAAACATCAGTGCATAGTGCCTTAATTCTCATCTACTATCGCAAATAGAGCATCATGCAACACAATTGGCATTAGCTAGTCGGGAACATGAGACAGTACGCTTTTCCATTTTATTTTTTTTTGACAAGGTTACATAAGAATGGAACTTAAGACCTTAGGTTATAAAAACCTAAACTCTACCGTCTTGACCCAAGCGTGTTTCCTAATACGCTTTTCCATTTCATCAACACAAATTTTCTCTCTCCTCTTTCAAGTCTTTGCTAATTTGTTGGTGATATTTCATTCTTTCTTATGTGTTCTTGAAGGTTTATTGATGCGGAAGACAGAGCATTTACTTCTGAGAAATTGAAGTCCTTGGGACGGAAATTCAGGCCTGTAGAGGAATCTATTGTTGACTTTTGTCCAATCTTTGCAAGAAGCTGGCCTCTTAAGTGCAATGCAGAGAGAGAGATGAGGTGCCTAAAACAAAACAATAGGAAATTCATAAAATAAAATAGTAAACAGTAATGTAATAAAATAGATTTGCTATGTATTAATAATGCAAAAGGGTGGTGTTGGGTGTCTTTCCAAACCATTGGTTTTGTTGCCTTGTTTTGGATTAAGGTTATATTCTCCTATGAGCAAATTGTACACCCCACTCTCTCTCTCTCTTACATTGATCTTACACATGGTCATATGAAATCCCCCCTTCTCTTAATTTTACTTTGCTCTTGTACTTGTGATCATGCTGGGAATGGTGGGTTAAACGGGGCAAAATAAAAGATAAATGAAACAACGAAGTTCACTCTATGATTCATGGCACGATAAATCACTATTTCAAGACAATGTTTGTTCCTTACGAATAAGTACTAGTGTGTCTAAGTTTTTACTAAGCAAATTTATCTTTAAAATGCATAAGAGCATAAAATTGAGAAAACTAACTTGCCAATACAAATGCACAAGTATTGCGAGTCTTAAGCCACGAAAGTCACCTCTATTCTAGGGAGAAACTGATCATCTTCTTGTTAAAACATTTAACAGGAGGAAACAAGTTCGAATGTGTAAAGAGATGAAGTGCGTTTTCACAAACTATGCATGACTGTTTAAGTACCCATCTCAAGAAATCTCCATCGTCAAAACAGTGCATCTATTGCGATGACGTGCAATAGGATATCCTATAGTCACGTGGTGACCCATCCGGTTCGGAGAAACTGATTGCCGAAATGCTCATTCGTGCGCTTACAGTCACACGGTATCTTATGGGTTATGGTAAAGTAACCTTCAAATGCTACCAGAGGGCACGAATCACCAGAGCGCACCAACCAGCTATTGGACACACTTCATATACGGATCCTCACCGGCAAGACACTATTCACTGGGGTGCAGCAGACCGGAGCCTATATACTGAAACACTCTTCAACACCAATCTACTAATGAGCACATTCTATCAGTGGCAATGTAAGTAGCGGCAGCCACAAGCGCAATTCAGATCACCAATCTATTGATCCACCACGGATATGTAGAATGGACGGTCTACTCCACCAATCTGGGTTTTAAAATATTAGAATTGGGAATCAATTTAGTTCGAATGGACTATCCCGATTCTGTCCGGGAACTTGGCACTAGATTCTCACTCCTTAAAATATATTCGATTTGCCAATCTGGGTCAGCAATGAGCCCATCCAGACTAGTTTTCCAGATGGACAGTGCTCCCTGCTGATCCAGATTTTTAAATAGTACGTTGAAGTGTTAAATTATGGATCTCTTGAAGAGAATTTGTCAAGATTTGTTATGTTAGAGATCGAAAGAGTAAGTATCAATAAGAGAGCCAAAGACGGGATAAATGATGAGACAAAAGGAGAGGTATTAAACAGGTAGACGTGTCTCTAGCTGATCCAAATACGCATTTGTACGGAGATGAAGACCAATGCTCCCTTTTTTTAATGTAAAATAAAAAAAACTAGGATTTAGTCCCGGCCAAACAGGAAATGTCTGAACCGATTAAATCTCTTGTCGAAACTAGGAATCTATCCAACTTCTATGGACTCACCCAGTCCCACAAAAGAGACAGGTGAGTCCGTCAAAGAACCCGGTGATTCGGACCAGTCAAATAGTATGGTTCCCACACATTCTATTTTTATTTTTTATTTTTTTTTCAAATTTTTATGTTTTCATGGAACAATCCTCACACCAGAGAATCGGGTGGATATGTCGATTTAGATCCACCTATCTAAACCGAATTTTTGGAACGCGAGGACATCCACCGATTTTCTATCCTTTAAAAGACTATTTCTATATGTAGTTTTATTTTGTTTTGGCTGGGTATGAATGGATGTGGCCGAGTTATGTACAAGGACAAAACATGCCTAATAAAATAATAAACAAAATTGTCAAAAATATTTAAAAATAACAAAATTCAAAATAAGAAATAAGAATCATTAGAAAAAGTCTATAAAAACATAAAAAAACTATATAAAAGATGGATTATTGAAAATTTTGATTTATATTGTGGCTTGGAAAAATAAAAAAAGAATAAATAAAAAATTGGAGCATGTGATAAAAAGTTGCCAAATCATCATGAAGGCCAGAAAAATCATAGAAAAATGTACTTCTAAATCATGTACGACTGATTTGTAATACAAATTATGATTTTTTTTTTAAGTTTTAACAAGGGTGATCGGTCCTTGGAACTGCCGAAGCAGATTTACTTGCCCGAGTCCAAGTGGACTCCACTGATTCTTCAAAACTAAGAATGGGTCTTATGAAACCAATATGTATGTTTCCTGAAAAAATTAGTTGCAATCGGATGATGGTGAGAAGTTTGAATCTCCCAATTTTGAGTTTAATTTATTATAAAAAACTAATATTAGTAAAACTAGAAACACAATCTGCACATAAATAAAAAAAAAAAAATGGGACTAAATGTAAGAAACATAAGACGATTTTTTATTTTTTGATAATAAAAATAAGATTTTTTCATAAATTTCCCTTGAAATATTACTAATTAAAATGCAGAATTTTTAAAGTAATAATTCATTATTTTCTTTTGCTCATTTCAAAGCGGGTTGCACACATAGGTACATGCTCCAGCTTCCCAGTGCCTAAACAACCAGCAACACTTGAAATTTTGAGAGCATAGACTATGCTCCTGTAGGAGTATAGTGTATATTTACTCCCTCAGTTAGAAGACCAAGTTGGGAGAATCTTTTTAGTTTAAAATTTTGATCACTAACTAAGGACTACTAGATGATTGTTTCAAAAGAAATTCTTAATTTTTGAACTTTCGGAAAGTTAAATCTCCAAAAATTGGACGGCCTTAATCCAAATCTTGAGACCTTTTTTGTTTTTTTCAAGCCCATAGAGATTGCAGTTTGGAACTCTTTTTCTATTAAGATTAGTATATGAGTTGAAAACATTACATGCCCAAAATGTAAGATCCTAAAGTTAATTGTAGATTGGGTTTTACAAAAGGGAGTAAATAAACAGTATACTCCCGTGGAGCATAATGTCTTTTAAGTTTTTTGACTTCTAAAATGGGAGATGAAGCCAACTTTGTCCCAATTATTTCCAAATTAGGGTAAGTTCTCACTGAATTCTTAATTCAAAATTGTGTTTTCACAGAGAATTTTTTGGTGCCTCATGTAAATTATTTAATTTAGTTGACTACCTTACATTAGCCAAAAGATTTAGTACTCTCGAGGGAGCATATTGTCCATTTATTCCCATGGGAAAACTAATCTATAAGTATTTTTAAGACCCCAAATCTGGGGATGTAACCTCTTTAATCGATATTGTATACTCACAAAAATAATTTCCAAGTTTCATTCTCTCTATGGGCTTGAAAGAAGCCCTAAGATTGAAAAGAAACCATCCAATTTTAGAAAGGATGAGATCTAGGCGTTAGAAGACACAAGATTTATTTTTACTTTTCTTTTTTTAATATAATTATCTGGTGATTTTATGTGGCTCTCAAAATTTAGGATAAAAAAAGACTTTCTAAGACAAGTCTTCTGTCAAGGGCTTCTAATATACAGTATGCTGATATGGGAGGATAATATATGCCCACGTGACAGTATATTTGGCAAATACATACCATACTGTAGCAGCTGGCGTCTTCCTCCATATTTATTTGGTTAGGAGTAGTATTCCTCTGTGGATTCAAAGGGTGACGACATAGGAACCGAGCCAGGAGTCCAGGACCCTTGTGTCTCTGAGAGAGAGAGAGAGAGAGGAGAGAGGAGAGAGAGAGAGAGAGAGAGAGAGAGAGAGAG